TTGGTGCCAATATGCATGTCTACCATGATTAAAAAAAATTGGTTCAAGGTGTATACTCCCTATAAGCAACCAAGGACTATCATGTTTGGTCACTCTCATACAACTCAAGTACTTGGGAGTGATGAGGTCGAGTTAAAGTTCACTTCTAGCAAGGTGTTGACTTTAAAAGATGTGCTTTAACGGAAGAATATGATGTCAAGCTTTCTTCTTAACAAGGCTGGCTTCAAGCAAGTTCTAGAATCTGATCAATATGTAATTTCTGAAAAAATGAGTGTTTGTGGGCAAGGGTTATGCATGTGATGATATATTTAAATTGAGTATTGCGAATAAAAACACATATGTTAGTTATGTTTACTAGCTTTCTTGTGTGAATTTTTGGCATGCTTGTTTACGTCATATCAATAGTAGATATGTTGGCATAATGAGTAGCTTAGGATTAATTCCAAAACTGATAAACGATTTTGAAAAATATGAAATTTGTAGTAAAACAAAGATCACAAAAGGCCTCATAAAAGTGTGAACAAAGTACCGAATTGCTTGAGTTAATTAACACTGATATTTGTAAATTTGAGGGTATTTTGACATGTGAAAGAAATATATATTTGATCACTTTTATTGATGAATTTTCAAAATATGCGTATGCTTATTTGCTAAAAAATAAAATTGATATATTTGGTAAATTCAAAGAATTTTTTCATGAGGTAGAAAATCAATTCGGTAAAAAGATTAAAAGGATTAGAACTGATAGAGGCCAAGAGATGAATCCACCAGATTTAACTCTTTTGTTCAATCTTTGAGAATTATTCATGAGATCACACCTCCATATTCTCCTGCCTCTAATGGTGTGGCAGAAAACAAGAATAGAACACTTATTGAGTTGACTAATGTCATGTTAATTTATTCTAGTGCTCCTTCCAATCTTTGGGGTGAAGCAATATTAACAGCTTATCATGTTTTGAATCGAGTGCCATATAAAACGCTAAACTGACTCCTTTTGAGTTATGGAAAGTGTATAAGTCAAATTTGAGATATTTTAAAATATGAGGTTGTCTAGTCTATGTTAGATTATCCAATCCCAAAAGATCCAAATTGAGTGTTAAAGTAGTCACTTCTATTTATTGGACGTGCTTTAAATAGTTCGTCTTATAGATTTTTTGATATTGAATATAATGTGATTTTTGAGTCAGTTGAAACTATTTTTCATGAAAAACAATTTCCTTTTAAATTAAAAAATAGTGGGAGCCAAAAAGTTAGAGAAATTTTATCAAATGATCTTAACTCTTCTACTCTTATTTTGCAAAACCTAGAAACTTCTACTCCTATTTTGCAAAATCTCGAAAAATAAAGTGTGCAAATTGACTAAATCTCTTTATGGCTTAAGATAAACACCCAAACAGTGCCACACAAATTTTGATTCTTACATGATTGAAAATGGATATAAAAATAACCAAAATATGTGACGGCATTTTTTCTTGATCATTCGCACTATGTTGATAAACTACTGAAAAAGTTTAACTTATTTTTTGCAAGCATGTGACTACTTTTGATTCAAGTTTTTACTTATATCCTGTCAAAAGTGATGTTGGTATTCTTAATCAAAAGAAATATGCTACAATGATTGGTAGCTTGCATTATACGACTAATTGTACTAGACCTGAGATCAGTGATATGTCATGGAAAGAATAACGAAAAATTTAGTTGGTGCAAAAAATAATGGCTTATTTTTCAAAAAATACCCAATTGTTCTTGAAGAATATTGTGATACCGATTAAAATATCTTGTCAGGTGACTCTCTATCTATCAACTATTATTGCTAAGTCTACCATGGAAGCTAAGTTTATTGCTTTAGCTTCAGCTAGTGAAAAATCAAATTGGTTGGGTGACTTATTATTTGAGATCCCTTGCTGGGAAAAAACTAGTCCCACCTATTTTGATTCATTGCAATAGCACTGTCGTTATTGATAGAGTAAGAAATTGTTATTATAATGGTAAATTCAAACCTATAAGATGAAAACACAGTACTATGAGATCATATTTGAGTAGTAGCATCATTGATTTGGAGTATGTTAAAGCTTTCTGATAAACTTGCAGATTCATTAACCAAAGCCTTGAGAAGAGAAAGAGTTTGGAACACATCGAGGGGGATAGGGTTGACACCCATACAGTCACGAGCCATGTATGAGGATACCTAACTCGAGGACTAGAGATCCTGAGAACTGGATTCAATGGGAGAAACAAATGATATGATTGTCGCAAGAAATGTAGTACCTTTTAGATTATTTATTGATTGAAGAACCTATCCCTATGATGTCAGTGCATTTATCCTCTAATGTATGGAGGCTAAGTTGTTGAAAAACTCTGAATAAAAATTTGTAGCTCTTATGAATGGGGTATTAGAATTATAGGAGTACACTTTACAAATTTCACCTATATGAGTGTGGAAGTGGGGTCGCTTTGTATTAGAATTGGGTTGATTCTAAAAAATGCTTACAAAAATCGGGATGGACATAGGCTCGTAATGTGTTGACTATTAAAGCTCATGTCAACACTTGGATTGTTATGTGGGAGCAGTAATTCTTTGTTTCTTCTAATCAATCAAAGTTCAAGACCACTCTAGCTCTGGAGTAGAGGTTATTGTTTCACTAAGTAAAGGTTCAATATAGAGCACACATTCACGATACATAATGATCTCTCATTGACCGGTAAACTCTCTTGTACATTGCATTTTTAATATTAACATAATTGTGGAATGTTGGTACATTTAATATTATATATAATTCATTTTACTAATGTATGATGTACATACATGAATCCTTATATACAACGTATTGTACATTTATATGTATCGTATTATTACATACATATATAGCTATATACATGTACATGAATACTATCTAGTACATGTATTCATCATATTTAATACATGAATCATATTTATTAGATACATTGCATAAGTTAGATACATGTATATTATATATACATGAATGAATTGTATACATCAACTCTAGAAGGTTTTAAGAACTTATAAATATGATCTCTAAAACGTGCATTTGATGTTTTTAAAAAATAATTATCGAACACTTAAACAATACTACACATACTTAAGAGTTAAAGACAAAGAAATATATTATTATTGGTAGAACTTTGAACTTAACCACTTGTATAGAGTTGGTTAGAGTCATACGACAAAATTGTTGAACTGATGTGTCGTGGAGGGAACAAGTCATACGAGATGGTCTACTGCACCGATTTTTGGTTTTGTCATTCGTAGAGGACTTGAATCTCATTAAAGAGATTGAAATACCCGTGCCTCAGCCTTAATTATTTCATATCAAGTTTATTATTTTATACTTTACTTCTCACATTTATTCTAATATCACCAACATGAGCTCCTTCTACTAGAATCACAACTAATAATCTTACTTTAATTTTAGAGCAGTTAGAACTTGGCCCGGAGTATAAAAAGGAGGATAACTTATCATAGACGAAAACCCAGAAACTTTAGACGCCAACTAGATTAGGCTTTGTAAAGATTAGTGTAATATTACACTATTCAGGGGTAATTATTTTATTATCTTAAATCTAGAGGGTAAGTTATATAATTTATCCACTAGACAAAGCAACAGTTTAAGATTGAGACAATCTCAACTCTCAAGGCTAAATGGCCAAATTGAGATATCTTAAGGAATAAGTCGAAATAAATGACGGTACCTGGGTTCTAATTGAGCTAGTAAACGACACATGTAGTCTTCTATCTTTGTAATTTACCGGTCATTGATAGCTACAGACGCAACGGACAAACAGCCCCTCACGTACACTTATAATAAAACGCAAATCCCTCTGTCGGGACGAAGGTGCATGAATACGTCCAGGAGAGGTAGGACATTATCTTTACGGGTAAATTATATTTTGTACCTTAAAAATTTTACATTATTTTATTTTATATTTTAAAAGATTAAATTTTTCATATTTTACTAAATATATTGAAAGTATTGCAACGTGATCCTTTTATTAATTTTTGTTATTCATTTAGTCAACATCAATGAGGTGAATTTTGATAAAATAACTAACGGAAATGTTATATTGCCATAATTTTAATACATTTAAAATATAATATGAGAAATCTCATCTTTAAATGTACAAAAATAAATAAATTTAAATCTTTCAATGTGAAAAACGAAATTTCTCCTTTGTTTTATTCAATATGGCTGAAAATGATACTCATTTAAAAGTATAGTTAAAAACGTAATTTAAACATGACAGAAACCAATGGTTTGTAAGGGAACCCTATCTTCTCTTAGCCATGCAATTTGTATTAGAATTCTTTTTTGTATCTACTTGTTTGGTTAATTCAATAGCTTTTTTCACTACTTTGCGAAATAGAACTCTATTTTTTAATTGATTGGCTATAAATTCTGCAAGAATATTAGGATTTTTATAAGGTTTTGTAATTCTTGCGACAACAATGTTAAGTTTTTGGTTGACACTATTTATTTAATAAATCTAATGAATTTATCATCCATGAGAAGTGAGTTATATTTTATTATTTTTTAGGTTAATTGTATTGAAGGTCCTCAAAATATAAAATTTATCTCATTTTGATCTCTAATATTTCAATTACATCATTTTGATCCTTGAAATATTAAATATGTTTCAATATGATCCCTCAAATAAGTAGCGTCCAGATTACTAATCTTTTTTATCATAAACTTGTCACGTGATACTTAAATATGAACAATAAAATAATTTATATAATTTTTGATCAAATTTTTATTTAAATTTTGGTTAAATAACTACCTAAATTATATAATTTTGATAATGAACTATCCAAATTTTAGTGAAAAATTACTCATATTATACATTTTTTTTGTCAAAAATTACTCAAATTTTATTTAATAGCTGTCAAAATTATTTTTGTACAATTAACTCTTTTTTTTTTATTGAATGGGATGACACCAAATATTTGCTCATAACACGTAGTCCCACGAGAAACGCCGCGCAAAAACCAAAAAATTTCCCACCTAGCCAACCTCTTCTTTTGCGCCGGCCGTTTTTGAACTTTCCTTCCAATTCCGGCCAAACCCACATAAAGAACAGAAAAAAAAACGAAGAAATAACGAGATTTACTTGACTGGCTTTGGTTTTTGAGAATTTTAGCGAGAGGTTTTTCTTTTTATCGGCCGGACATAGGGAGGATGGTGGCGTATAAGCTCAACGATGCGGCCCATTGGTGGGACCAAGTGAACGAGTCCCCTGTTTGGCAAGATCGAATATTTCACGTCCTTGCTGGGCTCTATGGAATTGTAGCCGTCGTTGCTCTGGTTAACTAATTCTCTTTTTCTTTTCTGCATTTTGGTTCATATTGATTGAATTTTTCTTTTCTCTGGGTTTTTTTTCTTTGCATGTTTCGAGTTGATTGCTGACGATTTTATAAATTACGATCGCTTCATGAGGTGATGTAGGAAGCTACATTTTTGGTTCATTTTGTTTGGATTTGTTCTCGGGGGCCATTGCGTTTTCTAGTTGAATGGTTAGAATTTTATTCATTACGAGTGTTTCATGGGATTTACGTGTCCTTGGTTCTCGAATAAACGAAGAAGAAATGTTTGTGTGTGTGTGTGTGCATTTGCATGTGAGGGATTGGAAATTTTGTTGATTTTTTTAGATTAATAAGAAGTGTTTGTGTGCGCGTCTCTGTCCGTGTGTTGATTGCATGTGAGGGATCGGAGATTTTCTTTATTTTCGAGTTTAAGAGGAAATTTGTGTGTTTGTGTGTACATTTGCATGGAAGGGATTGGAAATTTTGTTGATTTTTGATATTAGGAAGAAAGATTTGCGTGCAAGTTTGTGTTAGTGTGTAGATTTGCATGGGAGGGATTGGAACTTTTGTTGATTTTTGATATTAAAAAGAAATGTGTGTGTGTGTGTCTTTGCATGTGAGAGATTGGAAATTTTTATTTTTGAGATTTAGAAGAAATGTGTTTGTGTTTGTGCATATGAGGGATTGATTTCTTTTCTTTTTTTTTTTTTTTTGTTGAGATTTTCTATATCTTGGCTAGCTAACAGAAATTTGGTGGGAAAACTTGAAGTAATTCCTGGTTTTTATGTGTGGTTGAGTTTCTCACTATCTTGAATATGTCTGCTTGAGAGCTGAGGAAATGAGTAGGATTTCTAATTTTGAATCTCTATATATAATTTTTCCTTCTCTTTCTGAGGAAGAAAATTTTGGAGTTAATGACAAATTGAAGTTTCAAATGATGTTTCCTTATGCTTTCTTGGAAATTGAGCAGAGGATAAACTATTAGTAGTTGTTGGGGTTTGGATCCTGGGAAAGGCTAATTCTGTCCACAGGTTCTTTTTGACATTGTTATTGCTTTTGTTGTCGCGGGGCTGGGTCTGGGGAGTATAGCAAAGAGAAATTTTAGGAAACAGAACGTAAATTTGTAGGTGAACTCCTTCTCAATGGTGAGGATCATTTCGCAATATCAAACTAAGCTATTTTTATGAATTTACTGGTGCCTGAGAATGAGAATATGGTTGCTTGTTTAACCATGTGGAACTTGATTATATTAGGTACAATTGGTTCGAATACAATTGAGAGTGCCAGAGTATGGATGGACTACCCAGAAAGTGTTCCATTTTCTCAATTTCTTGGTCAATGGAGGTCTTGTATTTTTTTTTCACGATATCTTCTGTAATTCAGGTTTGGGACTTTATACTAAGTGGAATTTGTTCCTTTTGGCAGTTAGATCATTTATTTTTGTTTTCCGCCGAGATGTTCAGCAATTACAACCAGCGGTTAGGAACAATTTTGTAATGCATTATAGACTTGTTGATTGCTTTCAACTATTTTTAACATTGTAGTTTATCATGCTATATTTGCAGATTTTTCAACATATATTGCTTGATTTGCCAAGTCTTGCTTTCTTCACAACCTATGCGCTGCTGGTTTTGTTCTGGGCAGAAATATATTACCAGGTTAGGTTTGGTTCTGTTGACTTGTTTTCGCAGATTTGAAGATCATGAATTGGTGTAATTTTGTGGCTGGCATCCATACTTGGCAGGCACGTGCTGTACCTACTGATGGGCTCAGGCTGAGTTTCTTTACAATTAATGGGTTTGTGTATGCCACTCAGGTGAACATTTTTTGCATATTGATGTCAACAAAGCAGAGAATAGATATGTTTTTGAAAATTATATCCTCATCTTCAGTTTTTTTTTCTTTTTTTATGACATTTTTCTTCTTTTCCATCCTTTCTGCACGAATTATTGGATGCCTCAATACAATGTACAGAATAAAAAGCAATGATCCACTTAATTTCAATCACCGAGTGGCAGTTGTAGTGAAAGGAACCTACTTGGCTAACATGTAAATAGGGCAGTTAAGATGGCTTGAATGGGTTCCTTTTTTCTTTTTCCTAGACTGAGATAACTTCCTTTTTTCCGGAAAGGATTTGAAAGCCTCTTGTTGCGGTATAGGCTTTTATAAATCTATGCTCTTCTGTTTATGCTTTTTTTCTTATTTGAAAAACAAACGAGTGTGAAGCACATTACCATTTTGGAAGTCACCATATACAATGCTATCAATTAAGAAGTCAAGAATATATGAGAAGCTTGATTCATATTTAGATTTGATGCTATTGAAGCTAGTTTAACGGTTGTGGTTGAGATTCTGCATGACCAATTAACTAATAGCTACTGTTATTGCTGAATCATGTTAGCAAGGCTCCTCCTAGCAGACCACTAACTTCCCAAAACAAAACTGTAGTGAATTACTGGAACTTTCTGATCTGCATCTACGATAGTTGATATGTCTTGTATTCATAGTGATTGATAATAAAACCAACATGAATTCACTAGGATCAAATGTTTTTTGTCATGATTTAAGATAAATATTTGTCTGCCATATTTGCTTTTATAAAGCAAATCACCACATTACAGGCATAGATCAGTGTTACTGTGAGTGTGATAGGTGGATTAATTTTAGCAACTTCACCACATGTGCTATGAGAGCGAGCACCTTCTCTTGAGATAAATGCATGATGAAGGAGGGACGATTGTGCACTAGCAGTTTGAGTAGCCACATTTAAGCAGCAGCACCAAAAGCAATGGAAGTCTTGAAAGTCTTAAGAACTTAGGGCTGAAGAAAACGAAATAGGCTTCTAGGGACAAGGTTAGTATGTGTCAAAGGAGTTGGATGGCTAGGGGCTAACAATAAAATAAAAAAGGAGTCTTTTCCAGCATTTTGACCTATAAATGGCTGTCTGGTGGGTCTGGATCGTTCGAACTTGTTAAGAGAGACGATTGAGCTTGATGAAATAGGAAATTTGGGCTTGACAGGAAAGGATAGCATCTGTGGTTGCAGGTTCAGGATGCAGATATTGATGAAGAAGAGAGCAAGAGAAAGGGGTGATAGAACCCTAAAGTAATACTTAGGTTCTTAGGGCTCACATGTTAGAGATGATGCAGACATAAGAAATGTTTTTAAAATATTTCATCATCTAATATGCAAAACTATGCTAATACATCACGTACATATAAGTGATAAAGGCTTGACTGCGTAGTGTACTAAGCTGACCATTTAGAACAATGTCCTGACTAAATGGACTCACACTACATAAATAACAAAGTGGAAAAACCCAAAAAGCCAATGCACTCCTACAACCCAAGAAAAAATGGCCATAATTCTCTTAACTTCAATATCACATGAGAAACAACTACTAACTTAGAGAATTGCTTTCGCAAGTTCTATGTTAGATTTTACCAAATCAGGATTTCCATTCCCTTGTAAGGTTTTCTGAATCTTGCTTTCATTCTCATTTTTGCATCAATACTTTAGTTGATTTAGGCCTTCAAAAGCTTCCTTCAGCTTGTTTACAACCTTTTTTGGAACAATCAAGTCACTCTGGTCATTCAATTTTTCTCCTTCCACAGATCAATCGTCCCCCCAAGTCAGGGGGATACATGATAAAAATAAGTCAAATTATATCCGGATATATCATATTTATTTTGAATACCAGTTTTCCTTTTTTGTAAACAATAACCAAGGGTAGACACACAGGAAGACAATTCACACATAGCGTAGGACGAGGGAAAAATTGCAACATTGAGGATTATTAAACAACCCAAAATTAAATAGCCCAAGTGCACAAAAATGAATCCATTTCAAAATTTGAACAAGTACTCGAGTGCTTAGTATCCTAGGAAAAAAAATCAAATATATAATCTAGATTTTAACAATGACTGGAGCAAAGACTTAGACTCCTGAATGAGACAGGCAGCCACTCTAAAGATGCACTCGCGTCATTATCACTCTCTTCGCTATGGTGCGTGTGGTAAATTGTGGAGGAATTTTTGTGTAGATATTTTTCTAAGTTCCCATGTGTGCAGCTTCTATAATAATATACTTAAAGGCTCGTCTAAATTGACCACGAAAGGGAGTAGAAAAAGAATGGTAACTGTCCTGGCCACTCATGAGGAATCATTTTTAGTTTATATCTTGGGAAATCTTACTTCATGTGTTATTCTGAAAATGAATATCTACTTCTTTTCAGCTGTTAGCTTGCAAGTAGGCAACCAATATGCAAAGAAAGATGGGAAATCATTATTAGAGCAGGGGAAGAATTTATTCAAGGGCTAGGTAGTTTATATGTTCAGATTTTAGCTAGTAGTTGAATTTTTTATGTCATTACTTTTTAACTTTTTATGTTTGCGGTATTTTGGTCATTGCAATATTGTGATGACCTTACTGACGCTTGGTGTTAGGTCATATGACTCTTCTAGCTTAAAAGTAGGATTGATTCTTTTATCTTACTTGGTTTTGTAGGTAGGGCTACGAAACAATTTGAACCATTCGAGCTGGGCTCGAGCTTGACTTGTTCAAATTGCAAAATATACCAATCTGATTAGGTTTTCAATCTCCTTTTGTAAGCTCGCCGAATCCAGCTACATGCAGCTCAACATGAGTAGGCTTGCCTCAGCTCTAGTAGGTTGTTAGTTATAACTAATTCTGATTTTAGTGTCAAAAACAACGCCTACTCAAAGGAGGACGCCAAACTTTTCGTCAAATAATATAGACTTCTTTCTTCCTTTTTCCTCTGATAAATTTTTAGAAAGTTTGAAGTTCTAGGGTTTGATTTTGCAGTTGATTATATATATTGTGGAGATTTTGTTGAAAAATTGATTGTTTCAAAATTTACTATTTAGTTCTATAGTTCAATTTTTTGAGATATTTGCTGAGAGATTGAGTTCAATTTTGCTTCAAGTTCAATTTGAATGCTGGCAAGCTTCTGGCAAGCAAAGCTTGAGCAAGAATCTAACCTCGGCAGTCGAGCTTGACTTCAGCTCGAGTTTGGCCAGTTCCAACCCGGCTGAGCTTGAGCATGCTCAAGCCTGGCTTATTTAACATCCCTATTTGAAGGCGTACCTACTGATCCTTGTCTCTAACTATTTAACTTTCAGGTTTTGAGGTCTCTCAGTAAATTTCCCTCTATGATAAGCCTAGAGCTCTTTAATGGTATTTCTAAACCTCAGTTCTTCTCTCCCTTATAGACCCATTTGGAGCCTATGTATACATTGAATCTTTCGTGCTCTAACAGCAGAAGAGACAATAGTGACAAATGGTGGAACCTGTTTTCTTTTGTTTTTCCTTTCTTCTCCTATTTTTCTATGCTTTGGGATGAGTAGAGCACAATAATGATGTATCATTTAGTCTAGAGAATAAGAAGAAAAGAAAAAGGATCTCCATATAATTTCTGTAGATTTGGAAAAATGTTTAAGATAATTTTCTCGGAATATGTCATGTTGTGTTTTAGATGCAGAGGACGATAAAATTGTGTAGTGATGTGATATAAGACTTTTATGAGGGGGCTATGACTACAATAAGATTAACTGCAAGTGAAATCATTGAATTTTAGTGATGATGAGAATATGATTGAATCTAGGTCAGCTTAAGTCATCTTTTATTTTTTTGTAGATGATTGACTAGATACATTCATAATGAGATTCCATTGTGTAGGCTGTCTGATTATATTATTTTAAATGATGAAAATTAACACTAGATTAGGAATAGAAGCTTTAGAATCAAGACAGTCTAATATAATTAGGACTAAAGCTAGATGCATGGAGTGTAATAAATAAAAGCAGGAATAGAAATGGAGAAGAAGTGATTCAAGAAAAAAGATAGAAAAGAGTAAACATTTTCATTATCTAGGCTCAATTAACAAAATTCTGTAAGGCAACCTCCGTGATAGGTGAGCCTTCAGAGTTCAGCCTCAATCGTACTATTAGGTAGCCATTTTGGCATGTGGTACATATATTTATGGGATTTATTGCAGGTTGAGGACTATTCGTCTCTATTTCACCTTTCTGTTTGGCGTGTCTTGGCAATGGAATTCTGTTCTGTAATTTTTTGTTTGTTATCACACACCAATGGTTCTATACTGGATAAACTTTGCAGAGTATTAAATAGTTCTACAGTCAGTTAAGTTTATATTGTGGAAGCATATCACTACTGCATATTTTCACATAGACATTGTGGACCTGATTGGTATTAACATCTACTCTTTCCATTGAATATCTCCCAGATTATTTTGTGGCTGATTATATGGTGGAAACCTACTCGAGTTTTGATCATACTGTCCAAGATGTTCTTTTCAGGTTCTTCTTTCTACGATGTTCATTAAATTACTGTATTATTGGATGAATATTGTGTGCATAACTGTTGTGATGTGCTCCTATATGTGTCGGCAGGTGTATCTTTGTTTGCAGCCCTGGGGTTTCTTCTTTATGGAGGAAGGTAATTTTTCCCTCTTGCTGATTCGGCCGTTAGTGTTGAAGTTCGCAACTCTGATCAATGCAAATGCCTCACACGTCAATCCACATTTTTTTTTGACACCCATATTAGAGCATAGTTGCCAGTTATGTTCAGGAATCTAACTATCCATAGCTCAGCATTTTATGTTGCCATCAACTCATAAGATTTCTCATAAATTGGAAGATTAAATTGCTCCTTCCGGCACGTTCCCCATGCCCAAAGCCAGTGGTTAGACCTTTATAGATTCATGATGTCTCTGGTTCTAATATAAATGCTTCTTTGTTGTGCCAAGAGAAGGGGGCTGTTGTTCAATATTTGATAAACTTTATTCCTTATAGCAAGGGACCGGTTCATGATAAATTCCTTCCTTTTTTTTTTTTTTTGCATTTTTCTTTTTCTTGTTTTTTTTTGCAGGGGTGTGTGTGTGTGTGTGAAGAACTGAGAATTTTGTTCCACAGAAACACATTAGGATAATTGGGGAAAGAATGAGGCATCCTTCTTCAAAGGGAAAAAGCTAAAAAGAAAAAGGAAAAAAAGTTGATTCTTTTTAGGCAGGTTAACAATTTGATTCTTGGTATGGTCTTTCCCATTATTATGTAGTCCCTTTGCTAGACTGCAACAATGTCAGACACTGAAATGCCATGCGAAATTGCTGCCCATCTGTGATATCACTCAGCATTTTTGTTATTTTTTATTGTTGCATATTTTAAGTGGGTGCTTTCAATTAGTTATTTGTATGTTGCTGTGGGAGATGTTTTCAAAGGTCACTAGTTTTCTACCAAGAGGATCTAAGATTTGGAACATAACCTTCTAAGAAAGACCTGTTCTTAGAGCATTGTGATGATGTATCCTGTTTTAAATCGTTGAGACAACATTGTCTTTGCCTTCATTAGTAGTTTGCTGGAGCTGTACCTTCTCTGAGACTTTCAGGGAAGGACCGTCTCCATATTATGTTAAAGCTTTTTGGTGTATTTTATCATGCAAGTTCCTGTTTTAAACATTCTTTGTCTTTCCTGTAAGACATCAAAATTTGTTGGTTGATTATATATCCATTCTTGATGGACATAGCTGCTGATTTATTTGCTTTACTTAGAGGTTTTACATTCTAGATATGTTATTGTCTCTCTCGTCTGGGCCCAGATGCGGATTTCTTGGTAGAGTAGCACAATTATTTTATTAACTGTTTGCTCTAGCCCTAACAACGCCTTCTCTTTTCTCCCTTCCCACCCCCCTCACTCCAAAAGACAACCACAACCTCATGGGGAACAAAGGATTTGGATGAAGCTTGGAATTGTAGCAGTTCCGAATTGAATTAATTTGGGATTATTGTTACAATTTGGGGTCGTTGCACCTAGATCGTGAGTTGTTTGGGGTTGAGCTATTTCTTAACTGTTGGTAGAACCTGGAAATCAGTGTGATTGATTGGCTTTGTACTTTTTGAACCCATAAACTTTCTGATTTAGCTGGAATATAAAGCCAACCCATCACAATTTATTGTCGTTGGTTTAATCTGTTTTTGGTTTGAGCTATTCATTTGCATTCCTAGATGTTTTGTGTAAGGTGTGGTATCCTATAATATATATTCCTGTGAACTCACATTTTTGTGCTTCCTTACCTCTTATTGTCATCTTTATGCAGGCTCTTCTTAATGTTGCAGCGCTTTCCTGTGGAATCAAAAGGGAGGCGCAAGAAGCTACAGGAGGTATATCTTTCTTAAACTTTATTTGTGTTTTTTTTTTTTTGACTGATTTTCCATGCTTGTTTATTAATTGTTTCTTTGTATTTTGGTTTCCTCAGGTGGGCTATGTAACTACCATATGCTTTTCATGCTTCCTTATTAGAGGCATTATGGTGAGTCCATTTGTGTTCCCCACAAATGCTTTCTGCTGCTTGGCCTTTGTGAATGCATTTTTTAATGTATGCTAAATCTGAGTTACAAGGATGGCTGGGTTAATGCTAGTATGAATTGCAAATCTATTTTGGACTACAATATTTATTGGTGTTGTGCTGAAGACAGCATGCATGTTTGTGATTGCTAAGCAGTACCATGATCATGATATATTGTTACTGTTAATTGATCAGTTCCATGTCACCTTGTGCTTTTTGATTCACATTTACATTTGATAAACACATTGCTGCTGAAGCACATGGTGAGGGTTTTGCTGCCTCGTGATGTAATTAATCTGATATTTGTCTCTATATAATGTGATCATGCTACAGATGTGCTTTAATGCATTTGATAAGGCTGCAGACCTTGATGTTTTGGATCATCCTCTTCTGAACTTTGCATATTACCTGGTATGTTTCTTTTACATCGCCGAATTTTGATATTTATGCATGTACAATAAAATGATGGCAATAACACCGATGCTTGTGCATGTAATGGCTTGAGGAAAAATGGTGGTTGAAAGACAAAGTTTAGGTGTCTATATGTTAACTTATTGAAGTTCTTTTAATTACATTTTTTTGAAATATGTGCCTCAGCTAATAGTGTTTTTCAAGAGTATGGTTGTAAGGCTGTTGACGTGGTTGTTATTTGGTAGATGATTCGTCATGCTTTCAAGGAAGAATTCATTTTTTTCATACTCTGTTCCATGTCATGTGGATTTTTTTGGTTATCTTCTGAAGAGGAAACAATGGGTATATTGATGGTATACTCATTCCTTTTGTGTGACATGGACACAAGGTGTGAAGACTGTGAATAACTTAAAATGCCTATGGTAGATATCCCGTGTTCCTGGTTGTGTGATGATGTGTTTCTTCTTAACCCTGAACAATTATTTTCCTTCTTGGCTGATGACATTCCCTAGGGGTATTAAATACTTCTGGCTAGTGAGTTGGTGACATTCTATTTAGTGATACTGACAATGATTTATACTTTTCCTCTCCTCAACAGGTGGTGGAGATATTACCTTCTTCTCTTGTCCTTTTCATTTTGAGGAAGTTGCCGCCAAGGCGTGGAATCACACAATATCACCCTATTCGCTGACAGGACTAGTGATGATATATATGATGGAGAGTAAATATCCAAACATGGAGTAATCACAAGTTGGCTGTTTTGATGCTGATTTCCCAAAACAAGTAAGGGAAAAAGAGAATTGCCACTTTTGCATGCAGTGACGAGCTAATCTCAGGGACTCCGAAATGCCAGTTCGTTCTCGCACGGGGATTGTAGTTTTGTTGAATAGAAGCAATTCTCAAGGATTGTGAAAAAATGTTGAGCATTCAGTATAATAGTCTGCTTTTTTTTTTTTTTTTGGTTTATTATATGGTAATTTTTGCTTTTCTTTGGTGCAATGCTGCCGCGGAGAGTGACCTTTACCAGTAAAAAGAAAATAGATAGACAAGAATCTCCTGGATTCTCCCTGGCCAGTGGACTGATTTTTTTTTTTGGTATTAATGTTGTGTTAGCAACAAGTGATTCATAACTCCCGTAGGCAACCATCAAAAAATAAATTGAAGGTGAAAAGAAAAGAGATTTTACTTGGGAATTTGATTTTCTTGGCACAAGTTTAGAGCTTGAGTTTGAGGTTCTGCATGCATGTTCATGATTATTTTTTCCTTTTACTTCTAATACTCATCTCGTTTTTCATTCACGACTTTGTGTTATAGATTCTTTTTCGATTCTTCCTTGAATCTTCCACTCGTTCCTTTTCTTCCTCGACTTGGAATGAAAATCAAATCAGAAAAGTTTGAGTGGTCAAAAATGTTAACGAGAGAATTTCCTATAAAAGTTTCTTCCTGATGATTTACGTATTAATCTTTTACATATGAATGAAAGGATACACAACAACAACAATGACGACTGCTGCAAATTTCTCAAGTTATAAACAGTTGTATACTGTAAAGAAGGCCCGTTGACAGATTAGCATAGAGAAGCATACCTTGTTGAAAGAACTTCTTGCTACTTAGCAACTTGTTGACAGATTTGATGAACTGATCGGGTACTGCAACATATGCAGAGAAATGGAGCTGTGTTTGAAGCGAAAATGCCGTGAGATATGGAGATGAGGGTGTGGGTGGAGAATTGTCTGGTGTTTGTGGTGGACTGGCTTGGCTTGGCTGTCTATTCAATCACTCGATCAACCAGTCTTGGTGCATTTCTTTGTGGCATTTTTTACCGTTTGGTTTTGCATTTGAGGTCTCAAATATCAAGGTTGTTTGCTTCACTGCGTGATATTGGCGGGATATTGAGCTGGTAAGCTTAGGAGAACAAGCTGTTTTGATTTCGGGTTCAAGGGTGCACTGTTAGTCATTGATTTGGAGGACAACGAAAGGGAGTTGTCTATCGAACTGAAAAAAAAACAATTGGTATCATACCTTCATTTTGTGGATATTTTTATCACCATTGAATAATAAAAACACCCACAAGAATGATAAATCATCTATAAGAATAATAATTTCTTTTATATTAAAGAAAATTGATAAAAATAATTATCACAACAATAATAAAGACGCACATAACGGTGGTAAAAATCTCTAGTGTAGTAAATTATCCACAAACATAATTAATTTTTCGGTTGTAAAATGACATATAAAAATTGTAAAAACACCGATGGGAAGCTAAGAAATTGTAAAAACACCGACAAGGGTTTTAAAGAGCTCCCTAGTTCTACCCTAAATATCTTCTTTTTTGGAACCTGGGCTCGTAAGTGTCTTCTCCATCCCACAAACCATTGAGATAGAAGATATGGAGGCGAGAAGGACAATGGCGAAGGGGATCCCTAACCCAATAGAACCTGTGGTAGCTCCCATGGACCTTGCCACGGGCTTCACTAGAGCCAAAGGGGTGGCGGTGCTATTGAGACATCTGGAGGTGAGGCCATCACTGGAGGAGCCATTGTCAAAGACAGCAGGGGTAGCAAAGGTGGAGGCGATCTGGGGGCCAGGCACGCAGACGATGTCGAAGATGGCCCTAGTGGCGCCAAATGCGTGGAAGATGACGCCAGAAGTGGCCTGGGTGGCGCCATGGGCTTGGGCGACGCCGAAAAAAATGGAGAACAAGAATTATGTGGTAGGTGGCCCCCTATGTGCTGGCGATGGGCTGGGTGGCACCCCAAGTGTTGGCGATGGGCTGGGTGGCGCTGGCGATACTTCAGGCGTTGGTGTAAGTGCATGCAGAGTTCTGGGTTGTGGCCCAGACAAACGGAGCTCTGGCAATAGGCTGTTAGGCACCCATGGGGAGTATCAGGTAGGCATGCTGAGCAGCCAAGGTAGCGTCCTGGGCTTTAACCAGGGAGGGGGAGTGTGATGCCTTTCAAATAGGTAAGGTGAATCCTCTCACCCATTTATTCTTTACTTACTGCGACACTACCTTGACGTTGGTATTCTCTTGACATTGACATTGCTTTGACATTGGCTCTGATTTTGGTAGGCACCCACTTTGACAGAGGCATGAAGAAGGGTACCAGTCCGGATTCACAGCGACGCAAGGGAACTGCTGACAGTGACGGTTTCAAAGTATCCTCCATTTTCAACTCCATAGATTTTGACAGTAGTATTGTCAATATTGTCTCATCTTTCCATATTCCTCCCGCTATCCTGCGCCATCGGGCCGAAGGGGATAAGCCTGCGTGTTGCAACTCTTCTAGCGAGATGGTTTTTAATGAGGATGTCCTGGAGACGGGATTGAGATTTCCCATTCCTGGGTCCATTTGTCGTATTTTGGGTCTCTTATTACTTACCCCGGGGAAGTTAACCCAGAATGGCTGGAGGGTAATCTTGACGTTCTTTTCGCTATGGCAGTTGGTTCATGGCAAAGGTGCTTCTTCCTTTTTTGAGGAGTTCTTGGTTTCTTGCGTGCTCCTAGATAATCCTACTCCTCATCAAGGATGGTACCGTTTCACTCCGAGGTCTGATAAGTTTATTATTGGACTACCTTCAAAATTTCATAGTTGAAAATCTAGGTTTTTCTTTGTTGGAGGTGAGTGGACCACTGAGTAAGATCGTGATTTAGTGCCTTCAAGGTGGGACACTACTCTGAGGACCAAGCTAGGTAAGGGTTTTACCTTTACTTTTATGTTTGACTACCATATCCTTATATTCACCGCATGTTTGGTTCCTTTGCAGCTCCACCCATGTTATATGTGGAGCATGAGAGTAGGCTCCAGGTCATGTGAGATCATCCTATCAAGGAGTTCACAGCTCTTACGTCTGCGGCAGGTCATCCCAGAACCTCGCCCAGGCAAAAAAGGAAAGGTATTTGATCATTCCAATAAACTTGGATAATTGTAATATTGTAGATTCTTTTTCTTATACCAATTCCATAGGTATCACTATTGATAGAGCGATGTTGGAGGCTCTCTGTGCTTCTAGGGTCACGTTTTCCCATTCTCTCAAGAGGGAAAAAGCCAATGCCCCCAATGTCTCTCGGCGGTCCGAAGGCCATACTATATCCTGGGAGGTTAGGTCAGAGGGTGCCCCCACTCTTTCTCAGCACACAGCTTCTTCGAGTGTTGGGGTTAGTTCGACCACTTCTTTGGAGGTTGAGACTTGTGTGTGACCCTTTTTTGGGGCGAGAGCTCCACTTAGTTGTCCAGCTTTTAGCAATGGCTTGGTGTCCATACTACAAGACATGAACCTGGCCAAGGAGCGGCTTTTGAGGTTTATGATGGTCTCGGATATAGAGAGGTCGGTTCTAGGGGTTCAGAAGGCATTATTGACACTGCGATTTAGGGGTTTGCTATGGTATGCCTTCCTCATTTCTAGATTTCATTTATGTGTTTTGCCTTTTCTTTCATGTTCTGCCTTCTAAATGTTTGTAGGTGACTGTTGCTTTTCCATGCCTTTTTTCAAAGACAATTAAGTTTGGAGAGGCATCAAGGGATCTGGCAAAAGAGAGGCATGCACAAGAGGTTGCTGAGGAGCAGTTGAGGCTAGAAAGTTAGGCATGAGAGGCTGTTGAGGAGAAATTGAGGCTAGCTCACAAGAGAGATAAGATTTTGGCATCTCACGAGATGGCTGCGAAGCTGGAAGCTGATACAGAGGGTGCCTGGACAAGAGCAGAGTCAGAGGCCCGAGCATCCCACGAATGAGCCGCAAGTGCTGAGACTGAGCTTTGAGTAGCTCAGGAGAGGGTTGTCATGACAAAGGTTGACCTACGAGTAGCTCATGAGAGAACCACCAGGGCAGACACTCACTCCATTGAGATGGAGAGAAGGAGGGAGGCTACTGAGAGAGCAGTTGCAGACGCTTTTATTGATGGTTATGAGGAGTTGAAGGGGAAGGCCTCAGTAGCTTTCGCTGCCATTGACTTTTTTGGCTTCGTCCCATATAAGGCACCAAGGACTGATAATGATGGAGAAAACTTTGATGAGAGTGGATCAGGGAGTAGTGAGTGATGTCAGAAGTATGACCAACTTTTATCCTTTTGTCTCTCTTTTTGTTGTTAGGTCATGTTCTAACTTTTGTAAATTGTTTACAAACTTCTACGGAATGAAAAGATATCTCTAGAGAAAATAACTCTTGCAAAGTTTTCTTTCATAATTTAAAGTAGATAACAAAGAGAATTGACTAAAGTGACAAAAGACAAATTAAATGATAGTTACTGACTTGTACCCCGCTATTGATAATACTTTTTCAAATGTTTCATGTTCCATGGATAGGCCAGGGCTTTTCCCTCAGAGTTTTGGATTTTGTAGATGTCTGGTCTTCCAACTTCTATCACCATGTAGGGTCTTTCGCAATTAGGGCTTAACTTCCCTTCCCGAGAGTCCTTGGTAGATAGGATGACTTTTTTTGAGGACTAGGTCCCCAAACAAGAAGAACGAGGCTTCACCCTCAAGTTGTAGTATTTGGTCATGCAGCTCTTGTACTCCGCATTCCTGAGCATGGTCATCTCCCTTTCCTCTTCTATCAAGTCGAGATTGATGCAGAGGCTTTCTCCATTAGTGGCAAGGTCATGGTTTTGGACCCTAAGAGAGTGTATCCCAAGCTTGACTGGTACAACCGCCTTTGTCCCATAGACTAAGGAGAAAGGGGTCTCACCCATAGGGCTTCTTGGCGTTGTCTAGTAAGCCTATAGTACTCCTGGGAGCTCGTCCACCCATCGCCCTTTGGCGCTTTCTAGCCTAGTCTTCAGGGTGCGGAGGATCGTTCTACTGGTGACCTCTGCCTGCCCGTTCACCTATGGATTGGCTGGGCTAGAGTGAGGTTGCTTGATCTGTAGGTCTGCACAGAAGTTATTAAGGAGTTTGTTGTCAAACTACTTAGCATTATCACTTACTATTGCATGAGGTACTCTAAAAAGACATACTATGTTCTTGCAAATGAAATCCTTCACTTTCTGGTCTATTATTCTGGCTAAGGACTCAGCTTCTACCCATTTTGTGAAGTAGTCAATGGCTATTACCACAAATTTGTATTGGCCCCAAATTATGGGTAGAGGGCCTAAGATTTCGATCCCCCACATAGAGAAATGCCATAACTCAAGATGGTAGTGAGCTCTTCTGGTGGTTGTATTGGTATTGTTGCAAAGCGTTAGCATTTGTCACACTTCCTTACAAAAATTATGGGTGTCTTTGATAATGCTAGGCCAATAGTAGCCTTGCCTCACTACCTTGTGAGCTAGTACGCGCCCTCTTGAGTGATTTCCACTTATTCCCTAGTGGATTTCCCTTATGGCGTAATCGACTTCCTTGGGAAAGAGGCAGCGGAGTAGAGGCAGTGAGTTACTTCTCTTGTAAATGGTGTCATGCAAGATGACGTACGTAGATGTTTTCATTCTCAAATTCTTGGCTATTACTGGATCCTCTGGGAGAGCCCTTTTTCAAGATAGACTCAGATAAGTGTCATCTAATTGGCCCTGGAGGATGCATAGTTAACATCGTCCTCCTCTACCTTGAGGCTGCTTGGCTCAAACTAGTGGCCCGTTAATGCGGGGCACATTAGTATATTTTTAGATGCGAACTTGGCAAGCGCATCTACAAATGGCGTTCTTCTTCCTGGACACATGTTAGATTTAGAAGTGGTTGAAATTTTTTAGCAAAGCTTGGACAACTGACAGGTATTCTTGCATCTTTTCCTACTTTGCTTCAACGTCTCCTTTTACCTGGTTAACTATCATCTGGGAATTGCTATAAATCGTCAGGCAGAGGGCTTCCATCTCAATTGTGAGTTTCAAGCCTAATATGAGGGCCTCATATTTTTCTTGGTTGTTTGATGGCGCTAAATGGGGGAGACAACATACTTGAGTGGAGTGCCATAGAGGCTGATCAGCATTAGTACTACGCCATCGCCCTCACTAGTAAAGGATCCATCTACGTACAGTCTCCAATATGCTATTATGCCAGTAGGTGACGTCTGCTTAGGAGTGGCAGGGCATTCAAGTAGGAGTGCGGTAGGCTGGGGTATGGGCAACGAGGGTGCCGAGGACTCTGGAGGAATAGGTGAAAGGGAACTGGGCGCCTAGTTCTCTAAGGATGGAGCCTAGGCTTACCTCCCAGGGAGTTGTGGTGGTGTGCACTAGGCAGGTGAGCGTAGGGGTGCATGGCACTCCTTTCTGGGAGTCTTCTTCGGGTGGTGTAAATTCGGTGACAAAGTCCGCAATTGCTTGCACTTTTATGGCTGCCCTCGGCAAGTACTACACGTCGAACTTGTCAAATCGACGACCCATTTGAGGAGCCGACCCGACACATCTGGCTTTCCTAGGATTCCCTAGAGTGGTTGATCTATGACAACCATAAATGGTGTGGCTCTAAAAATAATAACGTAGGTGCCTGTCGGTAGTGAAAAGTGCAAGGACCAACTTTTTCAATTCAGAGTATATCATTTTCGCTCCTCGATACGCCCTACTTACATAGTACATTGGCCTTTGGACTCCTTTATCTTCCCTGACAAGGACAGAGCTCTAAGAAGAGGACAAGGAGGAGAGGTAAAGCTACAAGGTTTCTCTTGTTACAGCATGAGAAAGCAAGTGGGCATAACAAGATAGACCTTTAACTTTTGGAAGGCCTCCTCTGCGTCCGTTCCCCACTAAAAAGACTTGTGAATAATTTTAAAGAAAGGTAGACATTTTTCGACTGAGTTTGAGACAAGCCTATTAAGGGTTGTTATTCTTCCGTTAAGGCACTGGACCTCCTTCACAAAAGCTAGGGATCTCATCTCCAGAATAACTCTGATTTTATCTAGATTGGCCTTAGTGCCCTTTTGTTAACCATAAAGCCTAGGAACTTATCTGAGCTAACGTCCAAGGTGTACTTTTCAAGATTTAGCTTCATCTTGTAGGCTTTCAGGATTTACCAACATATCATCCACATAGACCTCCATGGTCTTCCTATTCCGTGCCTCGAACATCTTGTTCACAAGGCATTGGTATGTGGTTTCAGCATTTTTGAGTCTGAAACGTATGACCCTATAACAATAGGTTCCTTTCGGGGGTGATGAATGAGGTTTTCTCTT